GGTCGGGTGCGTTTGCCCCGGCCCTTCAGGTTCGTCCAGCCGGTAAAGGATTGGGAGCGCGTGTCCTGCGAGGAACGGCGGAGGGGTGCGGGCGCGGTACCTGGGCGCAGACTGCACCGCGCTCTGCAGCTCCGCGGCAGGAGCGGGACGGGTTAGGTTTTCTGCAGAAATAGACTCCTCCTTTTGTGGACAAAGTGGAGACAAACGTCCGTTTGGTTGGTGTAGGGTTTTTTCTCCTAAGCACAGCAACGCGCAGGAAAAAGACCCAGAAACTACAAGACAGTTTAGTTGGGCGCTGGATTTGCAGATTATCTCCATTCTACCAAGCGGCTCCCTGGTCAGTGGCAAAATCAGAACAAAACTAGTGAGAAAGGCTGAATTTTGAGCCCTCCCCGAACACCACATTCCATCACAGCCCCCCTTAATACTGAGTTGTTAGGCCTCATTTACGGAGCCAGCGTTTCAAACCTTGACCATGACATCTTTCAGAAGAGGAGCAGGAAACATGGCACCGGGACAAGCTTTTAAGAACCTGAAGTGGAAGATGCTGTAAATGGGCTTTCTAGATTTATAGTGTTTTCTTAAGACTGGTCATAGAAAACATTGAGAGTTTGAAAGTTTTTCTTCAATGCCTCAGGAATTAGAATGCTGCCACAGGCTTAACAATTATTTAGCCTAAATATAAAGCTTATTTGTTTTACCAGAAGGGAAGGACCAAACTAGTTGATTTTGCTGCATAGATTAATTTACACAAGAACTTGCCATTTATGTGGTATAAGAATCCATCATCAATTGTCCGTACCAACTACTGATTTTTATAAGCTACTGATGTTTATAACAAGATAAAACACACATGTATTATAAGATGCTACAAAGCTAGGAGAGTAGCTTAAATTAGCAATGGGCCAAATTAAAAATAAAGAAGAGGTCCCATTACATCATCCTTATTAAGACAGTAAGTAACCTTTACTTATGTGTAGTTTTTCCTCCTTATTCTTAACAAATCACTCCCACCCTGCACAACAGATATCATTACCCACAGGGACTGCCACACTTCCAGAGCCAGCAGACATGTGAATCAGCACGCTTTTATCAAACACAAGTTTCTGAACTTGACATTAAGGTCATTATCCAAGCTAAACATAGGGGAGAGAAAATGATGAACTTGCAGTCCTCAATGCAACTTAGACGTAATTGCTCAACCCTACCACATCTTTTACAGATGAGTATTTCAAGTAGGTGTATCTGAAAGAAGCATCCTCCACATCAAGAGGAATCAAGTCTCATCGATTGTCCTGATGATAAAAGCCTCTTCTGCACTCAGCAGGCAAGGTGCATCGTAGCAGATCAATGTGTCCCAGCGTGTAGATCTGGTGAACACAGTTAATCCTTACAATCACGTCTGTGCGTGGGTGTATGTGTGCATCCTTGGAATTCATACTTAGCCTTACTCTTGGCTGGATACGTGAACCGAGACAAGCAGCAGCCCCGCAGGGAGGAATCCACTGTGCCATACTGTCCATGACATGTGGCAGTCCTTAACAAAATGATCTGTTACGGTTCATCCAATTTCATTTGCTACAGTACATGTGTAAGCTGCACCATAAAGAAGCCCAGGGACAGGAACTTAACCATAACTTTTTTAATTTTGCTATCCCACTGTCCACTTTTCTACTGAAAGCCAAAGTACCTGTCAGACCCACAGACAGAAAACAGGTGTCACCTGTAGGTGCTTGGAATTCCTCTGACACTTCTCAGTCCGTCAACAGAGACACAGCATCTACACCTAAATGCCTGTATCTGCTGCTTTAGCAGAACATCTTCCATGTTGTTCCCGTAGCCAGCCAGGCAACAGTTTCTGATGGAGTCAGCAGTAACACTAATAGGTCATCCAAGGAAGTTCAGTAAAGACTGGAGGTAACAGGGCAGAATCAAACTTAAAATATGTTTTAACTCAAGCAGACAAGCTCTCCCCAGTCCCTCGGTTAGGAGTAGTCCTGTGTATTGGAACGTGTCTGCCCTCTGACAGGCATGACATGGTGAGAAGTACAGCAGGTTCTCACATCTCATCACAGGCACTTCCACATAGGCTGCACCTTTGCCTGCTGGGGCACATCCGTCTTCAGCAGTGGGCTCTAGTAACTCCTGCCCTTCATGGGAAGGCAACAACGAATGTAGAAAGGTCACTGGAAAGAAATGAGTGGTTGCAAGCCCCATCTCCGCTATCATATTCAACGCCCAGGTTAGAAGTTACCAACATTGTTCATGGTGTTACAGAAGACAGGTTGAGTGGGGAGACACGACGTGTGGGAGTGTTGTTGGCTGACAATGACGTGGGGAGGAAAAAGGGAGCAGCAATATCCGTGGATGATGTTTCTCCTTGGTTGCGAAGCTGTAAGATTTGCCGCAGCAGGGCCTTTCCTTCTTCTCTAGTCTGAAAAAACAATTCATTAAAAACAAAATTATAGACCTACACATGGTTTCCAGGTCAAATTCAGTATGTAAGCAGTATAAGTTACAGTAGTTTGTTAATCTGTAAAGGCTGCAATCTATAAAAACCATCCTAATTTATTTTTTTCTTCTGCTACTTAAAAACATTAAAGGTATATCACTTTTTTCATAGTCTTTCCTTCTATTACTCACTTGATTTGCATATTACTCAGGTATTTCAGACAGTGGCACTATCAACCACTGGAGCTTTCTAAATATTCCAGTAAAAAGTAGATCAGAGCAAGTAGATTGGAGAGGTTTCAAATAAGCTGAATTCAGATTCTCCAGGGTTCCAGAGAGCTTTGTTAAGGATAGGCCATACACCCTGCTCTCACAGCTAGAGTCTACCACTAGGCTGAAATTAAAAATCCGAAATTGTCTCCACTTACAGAACATCTCAGAATGCAGAGTCACATACAAAACCCAAGTATTGTTACATCCTCTGCACTCTCTCCACATAGAAGATGAGGAAGTTATGTGAGTACCATCACTACACGGTGGGTGGGTGTCTCCTCACCACCAAGATTTTCACCAGTCTTAAGACTGCCATGTGAAGCCTCTTTCCTTTAGTGAACATCAATGAGACATGGTTCAATTTTACTATCTACACTGTATGCCATGATTTTAGTCAACCATAAGCAGCCTAAGTGATCAGGTATACACCACCACCACTCAGGATGTGACCTGCATGGCAGACAGCCCTCATTCTCTCATTAAAAGATTCCTTCTGCTCTGAGGGGAAGCAAAACAAAGGTCATAGATCCTCCAAGAAAAAATGCTGAAGACTGTGCAACTACTCACGTCATTGAATGCACAGCATTTCTGAGCACATGCTGAGGCTTCATCCCAGAGCTTACACTTGAAGTAGTACTGGGCCAGGTAACGGAAGGCAGTGCTGACCTCCAGGTGCTCCACTATCTCCTACAGTGCAGGGAGTAAAAGCCATCATCTGTGAGTGCCTCCCAAGGTAGTACTACACCGTAGTTACTTCTCCTTTTACTCCCAAGACATTCTCTTACCCCACAGGAATAGATATCCTGGATGTATTTGATATAGCATTGAGCTGCTTGTTCAGATTCATTCAGCTGTTCGTGTAGCCTAGAAAAAGAGAAAAAACGGGCCACTAGAACAAGACTGTTCTGCTGAATACCTTCCTGGTCTATCAGAAAGTACCTCCTCAACCCGATGTGGACTAAAGCCAGGTCTTATCCCACAGAATTTGCAAGACATGCACTGTGTACTGCCCCTCAGGAAAAGAGATGATCCAGTCGGACAGAACTTGCATTACCAGGAAGGGAGGCAGTGGGATACTAACTGCTAGAAGCAGTAACAACCAAAGTGTGGACTTCTGCTTAATCCCGCTACATTTTAAAGTTTGTATCACACCTTTGCCATCCTATTCTAACTGGCTATTTCCTCCAGTGCTCCTTTTTGCCCTGCTGCATCCCAAGAGTCTTTGTGCAGCAGCTTCACCTTTCACTTACCCTCTCCCTTCCCTTTGTCTTTCTTTACTCCCACCAAAAACTAGCGCTGATATCAGTGTTCACATTTATCTCACATTAGACCTTCTCCCAATGTCACAACCATATATTGGGGAAATAACAACAAAAAGTATCAATCAATCTACAATTTTGTACATCAACTACCATCATGGATACAAATACATTCTCTAGCACTGCCTGCTCAAACCAGCTCAGGATTCAAAGGTCCCTTTCAACCCAGATATCCTGACGGTAACTTAAAGCTGGACGCCAGAATTTGCAATCACTACAGCCTTAACCATATCAGTTATTACACAGCTCCCAAAGTAATACTATCTAACAGCAACTCCACTTATTTTACATTAAGTATCTTAACAAGAGGTACCAAAGAGCTAGTTGCATTTAACACAATATTGACAGTTCGGTGATAATACATACTCACTTTGCTAGTTTCACCAGTGCCATTTTCTCCACATCTCCCACAGCATAAGCTCTCCAATAGCACTGTCAAGGAAGAAAAGTCAGTCAAGCACACTGTGAAAAATGACTCCAGCAAGCAATGAAGAAACAGGAAACTACATGACTTTCCAGCAAAGGGGCATATACCCCAACTGTAACTGCCACAGAAGTGGATTCAGTAAGCTCCTAACATGCTGTAAGCATTTCCAGCTACACAGTTTGGCTGCAACTCCACCTAGTGCCCTGGGAGACATCCTCATGCCTTACTCCACACATCAGTTCTCACTTACCTTTTTAGCTTCCACCAGCTGATTGAGTTTCTCATAGCATTCTCCTAGAGCAACCAGCATACGAGAATCGTTTGGTCTGTAAAAGAGCAATTTCTAAGTGTAGTTTAATGGACAGTCAGCTGATCTCAGGGTGGGGTGAGGAGAAAACAAACAAAGAAAAAACCCTGCACCTGGTAGTGTGTCATCCTCTTTTGCACAAAACATCACTTACACTCCTGACTGGCATTCCTCGGCATTTAACTGACAAAGCCTTTGTTAATAGTTAACTGATACAACTAAAAGGATTTGGAATAGTGAGACTGCACAAATCACTTAACAATGATGTTCTCCTCCCTTCCCCAACTTAGTTCCTGTGTGCAAAGTCCTTAGCTAGCAGCAACCACATCAGGAGGAACATTAACAATCATGGCTCCGTTTTCAACTCTACCTGAGCTGGTGGGCTCGTCTGTAGTAATAGAGACAGTAAAACGGCATTTTGAGGATTTCATAGGTTTGCCCCAATCCATACCACGCTCTGTAGTCCCTTTTGTTCACCTCTATTGCATGCCTGTCAAAGAAAAAGAGAGGTACTATTCAGGATCAAAATCACAACCAAGTTCAGCAAAAGACTAACACAAAATAGAAGATACTAATTCAATCCTTACGTACACACACTCCAACATCATTTTCTGTAGTACATAAGCCATACCTATAAGCCTGGATAGCTGCAGATGTGTTCTTCATTTCCATATATTCATGCCCCATAAGTGTCCAGGCTCCCAGATAACGAGGATTCAGTTTCAAGGCCCTCTGAAAATAGAGTGCTGCTTTTTCATGCTGGGAGCGCAAGCTGTAATAATTCCCTAAAGCAAAAGCCACAACATTTAAATAAATAAATTCTTTTCAAAATTGCAAACAAAAATCCAGAAAAGTAGAAAGAAGACAGAAGAGTCACCATCTACTACCCTTAAATTATAAAAAGAGTCCTATTACAAGCAGATCAGATGCAAACGTCAAGAGATCTAACAGCAGTCTGTTCTCCAGTGTTCTGTCACGCCTTTTCCAGTTGGACCAATCAATTCAGATCCCATCCCCTTGGCCTTCAAACCTGTGTCACCATCTAGCGAGTTAATTTCCTGGTCCTGACACACAATCATATCCACTGGAGTTTCAAGACTGTAAAGGGATTATCAGGTACATTGGCCTTCATAATGATTTAACTCCTTTCTGCACCGATACCATTACAGCAGCTCTTCTAGGGAGAAATTAAGCAAAACTGTACTTCGCCATTTGGTCTGCTTTCTAGGCTGCCTGAATCCACATTCACTAAGAGGTTTTGATGGCCTTGCTGGTTGGTCACTTCCACAAGTGTTTCTCAGACTTCCTCACACAGCTTGCAGACAGCACAGTAAGAGTACGTACAAGAGCTGGCTCTCACCAATTACACAGCAGGTCTCAACACGATACTTGTCTATCTCACAGAGATTGTGAGCCAGGTAGCTCAACTCGGGCTTCATGCTCTAGTGAATCAAAGAAATGAGCGATGAGAAAAGGAGCATGTTACAGTTTCAGAGAAAACCTAAGGCAGTTAGCAACTCACACATTGCATCTACTTCATGGCGCTGTGACACAGAAAGCAGCAGCTGGAAGCCTATACTCAAGAGAGGGCAGACAGCACCAGCTGCCTTGCTCGTGTTCAACGTACCTCTGGCAAACGACATCACTGTGGTCAGAATGCTTACCCTTACATACAGCAAGTTGGAGAATGTGTCCATGTTTTCTATCCTGTAAGGATCTTGCTTCCTTAGCTCGTTAAAGATGGATAAAGCTTTGTCAATATCTGAAGAAAGAACAGCAGATGGGAGAACAAGAACGATAAATGCCAAACTTGTATGGAGAGGCTCATTCCTACTAGTTAGTGTCACTGACCTCGGATGTTGTGGTAGGCAACTGCAATCTGAGAGATGATGTAAGTGCTTTTGGAAAATCCTGCATCAATGAGACTCTGATACTTCTGCAGAGCCTCCTCTATCAGCTGCAGCTCAGTATAAATGTGTGCAAGAAAGAACTCTTTCATCCATGTATCAGGCAAGGACAGGAACTTCAACTAGCAAGAACCAAAGAAGAGGAGGAAGAGATGACAATCAGTAGTATTCTAGGAGAAACCTGTGGCAAAGAATCCGTTATCTTCCCTTCCATGATTTAGCAGACGCTCTTGAGGTAGGAGGCTTTCCTAAACCATAACACCAGCTACAAAAGAGCAGTATTAGGATTGAGAATTAGTATCAGGTTCTTCCACAGAAGAGACTAAGTAACACCTGTAAGCTGAGAATATTGGAACACGAAAGGAGCACTAAGACACCCAGTCTAGGACGCAGTACAGGACAGACCATGGAATTCTACTTAGTCACTCCCAATCTATTTCCAGAACTGCTGGAATTGGAGAATTGAAGCCATTTCATTCAACCAATCAATGAGGAAACTGTTTCCAAACCTGTCAGCACCAGGCTTCTGCTTCAGCCAGGGGCCTTATTTCTCCATTAAATTCAGAAGTCCTTCAAAACACACTACTGGCTTTCTATATTAAACGTTAATATCGTATCACTATTTTTAATGAGCTCAGTGAAGAGACTCCGAGTAACCTCATCAAAAATGCATTCCGCTTTTTCCACATATCAGTAAGGCTCTCTTTGGTGCCACCTCTACTTTTTAAAATATTCCACTAGTCAGAGATGACTGAAAAATTCTAGGAGCGGTCTCTTAAAATCCCATGCATAAAGAACAATAATCTATTTTGGTTTTATATTTGGGTTTGGTTCTTTGATACAGTTCATCTCCTATGTGCAGCTTTGTATTTGACAAAGGAAACACCTAAGCTATTGGGTGAGTTCTAAAAGCAGCAATTCTATAGATCCTTTCAGGCACCAAAAGTGCTCAGTAACTGTGGAATGAAAACCAGATTAAGGAAAAAAAAAAAGGAGAAGTATTTTAGGAGGACTCTTTTCATGTGACAAGGCAACTACTTCAGAATGTGTGAAGTACCCATTTCTTAAACCACTTTGTGAGTGAACGGTAAAAAGTCAGCCCGGCCTGTATACAGACTCTCAAGCTGCAGCATGGCAAGCAACTGAAGAAAAAGAGGCTTTAAAAACATAATTTCCAGTCTTGGATTGCCTTGCCTGATAGAATCATAGAATTGTCAGGGTTGGAAGGGACTTTAAAGATCATCTAGTTCCAACTGCCCTGCCATGGGCAGGGACATACCCAACTAGATCAGACTGCTCAGAGCCCCATCCAGCCTGGCCTTAAAAACTTCCAGGGATGGGGCTTCCACCACTTCTCTGGGCAACCTGTGCCAGGGTCTCACCACCCTCATGGGGAAGAACTTCCTAAGGATAAAGAGACAGAATCTCACAGAATAAAGCAGTGGGCAACACCAATCTTGCAGCAACTGAATCAAATTAAACTCTGGAATTTGTTACATCTTAATATTCCCCAAGTTTTACCATCTCTTTATCTGTAATTAAGTTGCAAAGTTCCAGCCAGGCTCCCCAGTGCAAAGGTAAGACATGAGCAGCTTCAACGAACACATCTATTGCTTCTTTCACCAGGTCCAGCTTCCGCAGCACAACACCATACCTGTGAAGAAAGTCATCAACTCGGTCAGAATCATAAAACCTCATACCCACACAAGCACACATAAATACATTAGAAATACATGCAGACACTTACAGATAAAGGCCAAATCCATCCAGTTCCCGTGCTTTGTGTTTCTTACTCAGCTCAACTCTCAGCTCTCTCAGAGCTTCGTTTTTCACCTGTCCTTTTTCCAGAGGTCCTAAATAAAGAGAAAGTGAAACAGCCAGCTTTCAATCTAGATTCTTACCACAGCAATTACAAAGCCTAAGGCATATTCACAATCATCATTGCTGACAGGACTCGACACAAAGGCTTCCTGGCCTCTGATTATTTTCCTTGTCTTAAAAGAAAAGCACTTAGTTTGATCACCTGCTTTAACAAAAGAACCGATAGATGAATAACTGTATGAAGCCAATAAATTGAGAGACAATGAAAGAAATCACAATGTAGCATATTAGTATCCAAAAACTGAGGGGAAAGCCATAAAACCAAGACAACTTACATAACTGGAAGTGTACTTATATTGTCTTGTATTTCTTAAAAGCAGAGACCTACCCAAACTATCCACTGTCTCATCATCCTTCTTCTTTTCCCCTGACTGTGGAAAAGAGAGGAAAACCAAGATTACACTACAATAGCATATGCCTTATGTTTGCTGCAACACAAGCAGCAGCACGTAAACCGAGTTTTGACAAACATCGCAGTTCTTTTTAGAATACCCCTATCTCCCTTCCCCACAAATGCATAATTTGGACTTGTAGGTGGCCATTTGGAACAGAATGGGCAAGAAGTAAGGAATGTTAGGGAGGCATGGGAAAACAGAGTTAAGTAGTAAATGGTGACTTTTTCTTCTGTCTTACCAGGTATCTAGAGTACATATACAAGAAGTAAGCTTTCTGACTCTTGCAGCCCCGTAGAAAATAGGCAGCCCTGTCATATTCCTTTAGATCAAAGTAAGACTTGGCTAACGTATAGGCATCCAGATCACGAGCATCCTCCTGCAGGGACATAGAAGAGTTTTAAGACCTCAGAAGCTCTGACATGTTTTAGGAAAATCACTCAGTTACAAATATATAAACAAAATGGTTTTGAAAGCTACAAATGTAGTTGTTCATCCTCAAAAGTGGTTTAAGTGCAACCTAATTTTCCCCATTCCTTCACATGATCAGATTCCTAGTTCTCAAATAAAGTGTACAGACTAGTTAGAAACGTTTAAAATAAAGCATGAGATTCCAAAAAACAAGTTGTGGTAAGCTGTCGGAAGGCATGGATTAGCTGTTCAATGAGCTAACTAAGAAACCTACTCAGGAATTCCATACCAAACACTAATAACCTGCTCACTTAAATGCAAACATTTCCCTGGTCACCATGCCTCAAAACGCACCCATGACACGCTAAATGGCTGTAACGTAACAGAACAGGCATATACCTAAAAGTCCGACTTTACACCTATGGAGGTGGACACAGAGATACAACTTGTTTCTCTTGTGTCCTGAGGAGCAACAATTTAATGCCACACGCAGTTTGTGTTACAATATGTTTTGGTCGTAGCACAGACAGAACAGAGCCATAAATTAAGCAGCGTTACTCTAAGTTTTGTTTGCAGAGCATCTCGTCCAGGGCGCAGCAGCACACAAACCGGGATGCTTCATCTGGGAAAGCGTGTCC